TTTTAAGCAACCTTATGAGTAGCGTATTACAAAAATATATATGTGTCGCGATATCTCGAATATCGTAGCAGTCTGGTGCAGCACATTCAGTTGTCTGAAAACATCAAAACCGAGAGATTCGGCTGAGTTCCAGGTGAGTCTTTCGAAAAACCAGATTAGTTTGCAGATGAGTGTATATTCGCTAATGGGTTAAGTTGTTCAATTAAGTCCGTGCGCCTGGTACTAAGGCGGAAGCACATGGTCAAGGAATTTTGGATGGAATATGACGAAACAAGTATTTTTAACTGAGGTGAATGTTTAAATATGTCCCTAATCCGAACGTCCTTTGGGGGTGTTGTGTCGTAGTGTCGCTGGTTGGCTGCTTACGTGTGCTGCGTATGACCAAATGGTTTCATTTAGTATGGTGTAGGGTTGTTGGTTGTCTTTATGTTGGGAATTATTTAGCTATCACAGAGCACCTGAGTGTTCGAGCTACATGGGATTCTGATCCTTGGCATTCATTCCGCTGAGTGTTCGAGCTGCATGGGATTCTGATCCTCGGCATCAGCTCATTCCGCTGACGCGCTCGAGGGCGATTCATCAGAAACACTTGACTGCAGGTCAGTTTGAGCCAGTCTTGTGGCGGTTGCTTGATGGTAAGTTTTTAAGGTATATTTCTGAAGAAACTACTCATTCGTTTGACTGAATAGCGAAACATCGCTCTTATGAGATAGTCTAAACTGGCAAAATACACTCAGCTGCATACCGATTTGATTTTGCGGGAGACTCACTTGGAACCTAGCTGAATCACCCGTTTATGAGTCTTTTAAGCCCTATGAGTAGTGTGTTACGTCTATACATGTATTGCGATATCCAAATATCGTGGCCTGGTGCCGCACATTCGGTTGCCTGGATACACCGCAGACGAGGGATCCAGCTGGGTTCCAAATGAGTCTTTCACAAAGCCAAATTTGTTTCCAATTGTGTTTACTTCGCTAATTTCGCGCACTTCGGTTTCAAGCAGAACATAAAGTTGATGGGAACTCGGGGAATGCGCCTACCTGACGCGCCCGAAGAAAAGCGTAACCGGTAGTGAGCTGTCGAAAAACTCTCAGCAACCTTATGGGTGGTGTATTTCGTTTATAGTCTAAAATGATTTTCCTACAGCCAAACCATAAAAAAACGATGTGCCCAGACAGACCCAAAAGTCATTATGCGTTATGCGCATCTGTCATTTCCTAATTCAAGTGCTTTACTTTTTGTGTGACTGATAGCAGGTTGACTACGGGAAATAATGTGTGTGGACTCACCAGAATAATTAAGTCAGCACAGGAGGACGGCTGTTCAAACGAGATTTATGTGAATATGAACAATACAAATTCTACAACCAGCCACAACCTGACGTTGAAACGTATGTGCTAGTAGCTTACATCAAAGGGAACGGAAATGTATCCGTTTTGGTGTGTAGCCAGAACCAAACCTGCAAGATGAAACCGGAAGTAAATGCAAAACAAGCGTGTTTTCCATATGAAAGCAGGGAATTTGTATTAGCAGATATTAACAAACATTATTCCTATCTCTATCGGATGGGATTTTTACCCACTACAGTACATGCATCAAAAGACTCATTCATCGAAACTTCCAAACCCCCACTCCTTATCGTATTGTTAGATTCAGTGTTGATTGCAGTCCCATCATACTGAAGTCAGCTGACCCCTCGCGTTAGGCCACTCCATGCTACACACCCATCCTATTCCTTCGAGTTTGAGCCGAATTCACAGGCTGACCCGCGGTAGCACATCCAGTTCAGTGCAAGCCCTCCATGCTTTCACTTGTATCATCTAGTAATCTATCCTCTCTTCCGAAGAAAAACGCATCTCGAACAACAGCAAACTTCGATTTCATCCAGTATAAATGGTCCCAGTCTATTTTGGAAAACCAAAAAATACCGTAAAACAGTTTCGTGTTTTCGCGAAAAGCAAAGGAATGAGGGAATTATCATCTGAAAAGTCCTCACTCGAAGGTTCAGTCAATAAGTGACCACGTGATGTGCATTCCGTCACTGAAGTGTGAGTGGCGTTACATTTTTTTCTGAGTGGAGTTAATCAGATTGTTACCCGGTCGCTCGTGATCAAAAGTTTACGTTTCTAAACTACTAGCCAGGAGTTTCGTGAGATGTACACTGCTGGTGATGAAACAGCTTTTCAGCTTAGATTGGGTTCATAAAGGAAATTACTCACAAGGTTGCTGAAAACTCTTCAGTTGAATCTCTCGTGAAAACCAAATTGATTTGCAAATGAGTGTATTTCTAGATTGGGTTCACTTACAGGTCGAAATCTGCAGTGACGATCTCACATCTCCTTGCATTACCAGGGCCATTATTCTTCCCGGCTATTTAGTGAAGTGAAGTCAAAGTGAGTCAAACAGCATTCTCAAAAAAGAAAATACCCCACCGGTTTATGGCAGCACCCCCAAGAGGAGTCGTCATTCGGGGAGAAAGTCACGTGATGAATCGACGTGGCTGAGTGATGTGTCACCCTGTATATGTTCCTTGACCAAGTGCAATTCATTCTCTCTACCAGTCCAATATTTTAGCCGAAATTTGAAGCTTTCGATCTGTTTTGAGGAAGTTGAAGGAAGAGTGATGTGTCACCCTGTATATGTTCCTTCACCAAGTGCAATTCATTCTCACCACCAGTCCAATATTTTAGCCGAAATTAGAAGATTTCGGTCTGTTTTGAGAAAGGTGAAGGATCTGAATATCCAAGAAGGTATTAAACAGCTGCGCAGAACCTGCTGACTTTTCAGTCCAGACCGGTTCAGCTTGGAGGAAGAATTCCAGTCTAAAATTTCAGAATTTCCTCAACACCGAGGAAATCATTACACGATTCCTTACCAAGCTTGATAATATGGAGCTTCTCAGCAGTGAATAGTCTTCAGTTGTGGTTTCCTTGGTGATTTCGTTTGTCAGCTTGCGGATAGGGGTGCATGTGTCTAAAAGCGTCCATGGTAGCATTCTGGAAAACTGCGAGGAAGAGGCAGTCGGTCGCAATATCGACAGGTCATCATAGATGACGTCAAAGTGATTTTTTTCTCTACCAGTTTTCCCCACTTTTGCTCATCCCATCTCACCGAACCCAGTCGTTCGTCAAACGTTTGCCCGATTTAGATACCGTTTACGTTGCATAATAATGTTGCGTACTGAGAGGAGACACAACACGATGTTGATATCAATCGGCTGATCCGATGAGGTGAACTTGGCATGTCCACTGGGCTCCAAGATAGTAAACACAGCGTCCTTGGTCACGAATATGACAGATTGGCTGAACAAAAACCAAGTTGAACGGTAGTATGCAGATAACCGCTATCGAACCCGGAGAAGACAAACACGTTTAACCTACAGGGACACCAAAAGAAGCGGAAAATGTTTCGCGGGAAAATTAGTTCTATTGGGTAAAAGCCGGTTGAAAATCCTCTGATTGGTCCCTCTGGATCAACATCCAAAAGTAATTAAGGTTCTCTTGGAGAAATGCCATCCTAACCGAAGCTCTCTGAAGGTCGTTTTCGGACAGACAAGACATTTCTTGTCAATGCTGAACCACTCCTTCACTTTGGACTTGAGCATCAGAAGCATCGCTCAAGTTCTTCGAGGGTATCCACATCTCTGTCGTGGAGAGACGAAGAAAGACTCTGACAAGTGAAGCCCAGAAGCTGCTCAGAATCAGTTGGACGGAATAACGCATGCTCAAGAACAGATAATGAAAAGCCGTGGGAATCAGCGGCAAAAAACTTCGGCACTTCATATGACAATAACCTTAGAAAAGTAGGATGAAGTCACCAATACACTCAGCTGCAAATCAATTTGGTTTTCATGGGACACAGCTGAATCTCTCGTTTGTGATATTCTTCAACTGAATGTGCTGCACAAAGGCTGCCTCATGTTTTAGTTGGTACGATATCTCAGGTGAGATATCTCAGTATATTTTCATAAGGGAGATTACTCACAAGGTTGCTGAAGACTCTTCGACAACTCACGACAGGTTTTCAGCAACCCTGTGAGTAGTCTACTTTATCACCATGGTTTAGTTTCAGAAAGGTTGGGCAACATTTTGTTCTTGACACAAGAAATTCTTCAGGCCAAGTAAGCAGGTTACCAGGCTGGCGGAGCTTTAAGGTAAACGGCAAGCCGTTTAACATACTGGATGAGGGTTGAATGTCGGTTAAAGGGTCTTGTTGGTTAGTGTGAGTGCCTAAACCCCAAGATCGATGAACTAAGGGCAGAAGTAATTCACTTTGATGGAGTTTGAATACTTGATCAGATCACTAAGATTCAACTGAAGATTCTTCGCTGGTAAATTTTGTTAGTGTGTGGGTTTGTAGGTACTACGATAGTTTGGTCAAAGGATGAGATTACGGGGACTTTTGGTCAACTCGGGCCATGCACTTCGGAAGAACACTGATCTAGTGTGCTGGTCCAAAGAGATCATTCCGACCGTCTGTCTGCGTCTGTCTAACAACATGGCAACCTTGGGCTGGTGAAGAATGCATGAGGAAAGCAATACCTTGTAGGTTGAAAAGATGACTTCTCAATCAGTTTGAAACGTTTCCCATTAGATTGAAAACACTAATGGAAGACAACATTCCAACCAACCCCTTTTTTTATCACACTCAGCATTGATCCTAACGCAGTTTTTGGGGGGAATAAGTCCTGTCCTAACGGTCAAAAATCGTGATAGCTTCCCAGGGTATTCTGCTATCCAACGGCTTTAACAAAGGTCCGAAGTAATACTATCTAAACTAATGTGAAACTTAGTTTACAAGCTTTTGTGCACCTAGAAAATGCTGTAAACGACTGAGAGAGACTAGTCATTTATGTGTAGTGAAAATTTAGAGCAGACATTCTGTCCGTTTCAATCAAAACTATGGTAAATCCGTATTTTCATCATTTCGAATAGTGGTTGCCACATGCCTTCATAACAGACTATTTGTTCACCTCATTTGGAGTGACTTCATTGTCGCTCCGAATCCTGTCTTCAAGAAACACGACCTTGGTAACTGGCTCGCACACGTTTCGTCACCATACGAGGAGACATCTTCAGGGCGCCGTTGAGTGGGTACCTCCTGTTTTCCTGCGTGCGTTTATATAATAGTTGAAGGCTATCTGTTATCTCTTAACGTGATCGGCTAGTTAGGTGACCGCGTTTTTCGTGAATTTATTGGCCCGTTTGTGATCTTTGTTGCATTGTGGTTTGCGTCCCTTCGAGTTGATTGTTTATCCCGATGCCTTGTATTTTTAGTGGTTTCCTCCCCCGTTTTGATTGGCCTCCTTCTCGATTTGCACTGCGTTGTGGTCTGATTCAAAGTATCTGCTGGAAGTGAAAGTCATTCACTTTCCAAATGTGGTAGGTTACTGGAAAGAAGTTACGCGGGGGGGAGCGGCATTTGAAAAGTGATCAACTTTTTTTCTAACCGTCTAATGAAGAACACTGATCTAGTGTGCTGGTCCAAAGAGATCATTCCGACCGTCTGTCTGCGTCTGTCTAACAACATGGCAACCTTGGGCTGGTGAAGAATGCATGAGGGAAGCAATACCTTGTAGGTTGAAAAGATGACTTCTCAATCAGTTTGAAACGTTTCCCATTAGATTGAAAACACTAATGGAAGACAACATTCCAACCAACCCCCTTTTTTTATCACACTCAGCATTGATCCTAACGCAGTTTTTGGGCGGAATAAGTCCTGTCCTAACGGTCAAAAATCGTGATAGCTTCCCAGGGTATTCTGCTATCCAACGGCTTTAACAAAGGTCCGAAGTAATACTATCTAAACTAATGTGAAACTTAGTTTACAAGCTTTTGTGCACCTAGAAAATGCTGTAAACGACTGAGAGAGACTAGTCATTTATGTGTAGTGAAAATTTAGAGCAGACATTCTGTCCGTTTCAATCAAAACTATGGTAAATCCGTATTTTCATCATTTCGAATAGTGGTTGCCACATACCTTCACAACAGACTATTTGTTCACCTCATTTGGAGTGACTTCATTGTCGCTCCGAATCCTGTCTTCAAGAAACACGACCTTGGTAATTGGCTTGCACACGTTTCGTCACCATACGAGGAGACATCTTCAGGGCGCCGTTGAGTGGGTACCTCCTGTTTTC